CAAAATGTGGGATTTTTTTTGTTTCAGGAGATGACGTTTGTGGCACTATCGTCCAGAGAATCTTTCTAAATGTTTCTATTTTGCAATTGTAGGTCGTTCACCACATGAACTTACTGTGGGTAGATGAAGCAAACTACCACAGAGGCATCTCAAAGATCTGATGTCTGTTGATTAAAGACAAAAAGTGGTGAACTGCAGGTAATGATTTGACTGTGTCTCCCACTGACCCCATAGTTAACTGCTTGTGGCAGTACAGGAAACCCAGAAAGACTGATCGCTTTTTGTTCTTTCTGTTTCTGAATCACATTGCTTTCCACTTTTGTTGACCAGATATTTCCAAATAAGGTCCAAAAAGCCAGATTAACTTTAACTGCGGGGCTCCAGAGGGCCAAGGCCCGCCGCCTTTGGATTCAATCACAAGGGGTCGCCGCTGCAGGTAGTGTCACAAACACCAAGATGATCCATCTCCTTCATGTTATCTACACATGTTCAGTTTCTGTGTACTTGTGGCAAAATGTAATCAGCCACATGACGTTACCGACTTGTAGACTGCGTAAGAGGCCCTGAACCACGCAGGGCAGGACGGATTCAAATTTTCATGTTGTTTACACAACAACTTAAGATTCATCTGACCAGTCAATATTTTTCCAATTAAATTTTTGACGTTCGTGGGCACCGGTTTGGCTCAGTGCGCTGAGCGGGCAACCACATGCCATTCGGCTGAGAGCGTCCCACCCGGGTTTGAGTCCGTCCCGGGTTTGAGTCCGACCCATGCCCCTTTGCTGCGTGTCTCTCCCCCGCTTTCCTGTCCGTCTATTAAATAAAGCTGAAAAAGGCCAAAAGGTTTTTGATGTGTGAACTGAGGCCTGCTCTTAGTTGACAGGGATGGCACTCGGTGTGGTTTCTGCTGCTTTAACCCATCTTCTTCACAGTCACACATGTTGTGTGTTTAGAGATGCTCTTTATATTTGCTATACAAATAAATTTATTATTATTTGAGTTACTGTTGCCTTCCTAAGTAGAAGCAGTCAGGTCATTCCCTTCAAACCTCTGGCATTAAAAAGGTATTTTTACCCAGAGAACTTCCGCTCGAGGATATTTGCTCTTTTTCGCACCAATCTCTGTAAACAATAGAGATGGTTGTGTGGGAAAATCCCAGATTAGCAGTTTCCAAAATATTCAAACCAGCTGGTCTGGCACCAACAACCAACCCACATTCAAAGTGACTTAGATCAACTTTCTTCCTCATTCTGATGCTCAGGTTCGTCTTCAGCAGGCCGGCTTGACCACGTTTACTTAAAGCAGCCTCGCAGCATCTCAGTCTGACCTTTTGAAAGGCTGTGTTGAACTACAACACATTTACTCCTAAATACAGTGTGCCGCTGCCATGTGATTGTCTTAGATTTGCATTAATCAGTTGGGCAGGTGTACCTAATGAATAAACTTAGTTTGAGCAAAATGCAAAGAGCTTCACTCACATACACTTTTTCACTTATTTATTATTCAACAACTATTCAAGTGTGGTTCAGTAGTTAGTAGTAGTAGCACCTAATAACGTAGCTGGTGTATATTTGAAGTGGAGAACAAAAGTGTTCGTGGAAATAAGGGGAGCCATAACTCCTCATACCTGAGAGTAATTTCCACTCAGGGTTTCACAGACATGTCTACAATGGTTCCAGTTCCAGCAGACTCACACAAGCATTGAAGATACTGAGTCATATTCAAAATCTACTTTATTGGTACACAAATTTCATAGAAATTAATCTAAGAAAAAGAAGTCAGAGTTTTTCCATTCTCAGACACAACACAGGATCTTATCACCTTGTAGTCTGTGTAAAAGGTTTTTATCTGAAAACGTTATCACTAAATGTCACCTGCAGTCTGTGTCAGTTATCTGAGATCTCAGTTTACTAATTCCATTCTCCTTGTGGTTTACGGGGAACTCTGTCACTCGATTACTGGAGAATTCCACAAAACATTTGTGCACACCTAACTCAACAATAATTAATAAGCTGCCATAAATTTTTGCCAGATGTTCACACTTCCCAGAATGTGAATCCAACTCAGTTTCCAACTCAATCCCAGGCCTCACTGCAGCCGCATAAAGGCCACTAATGTCTGTTCAAGCATGGGGTAAAAGAGACAAACCCGTATAACAAACACACTCATTCATATATTTCCTCATTGAACAGTCATTTCCAGTGGACAAGCACACAAACAACATCCTTATATTTTCAAACTTTTACAAAAACTCAAACAACTCACCCATCAGAACTTCATCTTTTGGACCTTGTGTTCAGCAAAGTAACTGACAGCACTGCTCAATTCCAAAATCCTTGTGGTTTACTCATCCTGCTCTCTTCCCTCTTTCCCCCTGTGAGCACTTCCTTGCTTTAGTTGCTAAATATATATTTTAAAAAGCCACTGCGCTTAGTAAGTGCTCTGAGCGAAACACAGGTGGCATCAACAGGTTTGGGCACATTTTGCAGAAATGACAGGAAGCAAGACGAGGAAGTAAAGCAATATATTTCTCCAGAATCCCCCACTGGCAACAAAACATAAAATGCACCTATTAAATCAGTGGAGTGTAAAAAGTCTGAGTAAATATTTGCAGCTAAAATCCAGTTCATCTTTTTGTTCACAGTAATTGTGAAAAACACTGACTTTATTTTACACTTCCTCATTATTTTCTTTAAAATCCATCACTAAATAAAATGTATTATGAATACGAGTCAGTATCTTTAATGCTTCCACAAGTCTTATAATGTAAATCGATCAATAATCAGTGCAACACATGCCATTTAACATTAACTTTCTGTAGGCTCACCTGCACGTCCCCCACGGTGAAAATGTGTGGTCACCCAAATTCATTGTCATCCTATAAGAAAAGCCTCCACAAGAGCAAATTTAAAATCGATATTTAGTGTTAAACTAAATACCTGAAAATGTAATGACATTCCTATCGGGCTCTTTACCCCAAAGCACCTTTGTGCTTAAATATACAGCTGCATGGAGCTGCTACATCAAGCCTTTGTCTTTGTCAGATGACTGGTGTTAATCAGTAAATCTGAGATGAAAACGATTGAAATGCACACATTTACTCATCCATTCAAGGAAAAACACAGATTTAATTAATAATAAAGTTATGTTTGTACCTGTCAGGAATTATTGTGTCATTATTATTCACCTCTGTATCTCCTTCCTGCAAACGTCTGGAAGCTGCCAAGGGTTAATTGCTAATTGTTTACATTAACAAGGTGTGGCTAGAGGTGTGCATTTGGCTAGCTTTGGGGCCTGGTTAAGTAAAACTTGAACAAAGAAAAAGAAGAAATACTGAAAGGAAAGCAAGATGGCAGTGAAAGAATAAAACTTAGAACTGATTATCAGTCAACCATCTTTTTAGCTAATGTTTAAAACATTGTATGTATGCTGCTGTCTGATGCTGATGGGGACACTTTTGCACAGCCTTTGCAGAGTCACATCTACGTCTGTTTATCCTGATGGTAAAAACGTTTGACATAAATGTAAGACAAATTTTCACGTGTCCATGTGACCAGATTTTTTTCAAAGCTAAGTAAGCTGCACTGTTAAAGCATTAGACTGCGACTGTGTTATAATACAGTAAATTATATTGGGGGAAAAAATCTGAGAAAACATTTTAGCTGCACGAACAGACGCTTTATTAACTATTTATTTGAAGATGACATTTTTCAATGTGACTACTTTTTTTAATTTAGGACTTAAAAGAGAGTTAGAGTCATTCAATTTCCCAAATATTCATCACAATCAGCAGTTTTTCTGCAATATGTAAATATTACTTTCTAGACTGTCCTGATTTGGTGAAAAACACACATGCTGTTTTAGAAACTTTTAACCAAAGACGAGAATGATTCAGCCTTCCTTTTGTGGTTTCCTGCTAACCTTGTTTCTTCTCGTAACTTTGTATGGTGTCAGGTGTATTTAGCAGCATTTTAGAGAAAATCTGACTATCTTCCTTTAAATCGACTCCTAGTAGCGAATGACCCCAAATAATTCACTGATTGTTTTTTATGAAGTGTTCTTTTCCTTTTTTTTCAGGAGTCCAAATAACTTTCGTTTTCTATAAAAGTAACATCTTTAATTTGCCAGTGAGGTAATGATCAGTCAGTCCAGTAGTCATGTTATAGTCATACCCATTATAATAACCTCTTTATTAAAGCATTACATTCATTTAACAAAGCTAGAAAGTTATCATACAATCATTATTTGATGAGGGTGGCCTGTAAATAACTATCAAAGTAAAAGTCCTTTGTGGAAATAACACTATATTAAGGCCAATACGTTCTAATTCAATACAGTTTGTCCACTGGATTACATTACTGCGAATACCCTAGTCCATAAAAACCATAATCCCTTCACCTTTTGCAACTCCACTCTCTTCTGTAGATGTTGTGGCCAACCACATTTAGTGCAGCAGAGCCATAATTTGTAGGAAAAAGTCAGTTCAGTTATTGAGAGCAAAAAAGAAAGACAGAATAGTAGTTGGGTGTAAATAAGATAAAAACCCACAACATGCATGCAGGGGATGATGGAAAACTATAGTCAGGAAGAATAAAGAAGAATCAAGACAGGCAAAGAATAAAAGTTAAAATTTATTGATTAAAAACAGATGAATAGTGATGATTTAGGAAGTATGGCAAAGTCGTCAGGTGAATGACCTTCAGTCGGCTTTTCTGTCCACTTCCAAACACAAATCCTTTCTACTAAGGCAAAGGTCATCTCACCACAGAGACAACCGTTAAGGCCAAAGAAGCACTCACAACAAAGAAGCACCAAGTTTCATCAGAGAAGAACAGCCGTCATTTTATTCAGTTAATGTGTTTGATTTTTAATGGTTAGTAAAACAGAGGACTTCAGAGCCATTCATGCCGAACTCCCTCCTAATGTTTCACAGGGTAGCTGCATGGAGCCCCAGGTGTTGCCAGGCAACCCTACAGGCATTTGTAAACAAAGAGCAGAAGTCCTTTTCTTCTGACAGACAGACCAAAGACTGACCATGAATGCACGAACTACACTAGCTACAGTGGGACCGTGGTGTAAATCCGCCTAAATGTGATGAAGTTACACAGTGACTAAGTCAGCCATGAGCTCAAGCACACTGTCTGCTGTGATAGAGAAGCTGATTCGCAGCCTATGTCTGAATGACTTTCCCGGTGGAAATGGCACATGGGTAAGTATCTAAAACACTGACTTGTCTATAAATACTTTAGAGTCTAAGACATTAAAAACATGGATTCAATCTGCAGAGAAACACCAAAGGGAGTGCGGAGCGAGCAGAGATGGAGTCCACGGATGCTCTCCTGGATCTGCTGAGCTGCCCTCATTCTCCATGGCGCCATGATGCAATGTGGAGCCCTCAAGCTTTGCCTCTCAGACAGCTGGCTGTGCTCACACCTGAACGCCTCCACGCCCCCTTCATTTACAACTACTTCACTTCACTTCGTATTGTTGACAGAGACGTGAGTAGGCCTCTCATTAGGAGTGCACCTGTGTTCACTGATAGCCTTTGGCAACAGTCATTGATCAGTCTATGATCCACAGTCATTCAGAATAAAACATTTTGTACCCCAGATTGAGAAGGAAACATATGAGTATCTTCACTGACTGTGATGTGCAACATAAAAAGTAATAATTTTAATAAAACTCAAAAAACAACAGTTGAAAAAGAAAAAGAGTTTTGTAATATGAAGGGTTATTGGGGTGAATTTTATATTTGTCCCAATGTTAAACTGCTGTCAGTTTGTCTAATGTTTCTTCGCCACAGATTAGCTCAAAGCTACCAGTTTGCCTCGGATGACTCCTCACCCCACTTTTATCGTATTTATCATAGCACGGATTTATTTAATGTTTGATGCTTTTACACATTTGTAAAGGTTTATCTTCTGTCTGTCTGCGTGTTCAGGTAACAGCCATTGACGGTGGCCTGTTGAAGTTCTCAAAGCTGGAGGAGCTGGTGCTGAGTGCTAACAAAATCTCAGAAGTACCCACAGTACACCTTCCCGGCACTTTAAAGGCAAGTCCCAGTCCTGCTTCAGCTTGAATTTGCAGCTCTTAACAGATTAAGTGTAGACAGCATTGTTATCATTTAAATGTGATTCATGATTCACCAAAAAACACTATAGCTGTCCCTTTCTGCATCATCAAAGACGACACCCTTGCTTTCGGATTTACCCATGAGATCAAACGTTTAAATACTCTCATCATTGCCATCAATGTCATGGTAATTTTGGACTTTAAATGATTTCTTTTAACTGTATTTTTTCCAGAGTACAATGATTGTACAGCATACCCCTAATGATTTAACAAAAACAACAACAAAAAAGAAATTAAATGCACAAGTTTGAATTTTTTTTGATTTTCTCTGATCCACACAGGGCCAGAATCATACAAATATACAATATGAACATGACGCACAACCAGTAGTTCCTCTTTGCAGCATAAAAGTATTTGTTTGCCAGCACTCACTGGATTGACCAATACTTTGGAACAATGAAAAACATTCATGGAACTCAGTGAAAGAATGAGAATGCAAAATTACACAAGTTGGGAAAGTCTCTCTCAGACATTTCTCAACAACTTCAGGTTTCATCAGCATTAGTTCAAACTGTGTCACCACTTTTCCAAGGTGTGGAGGAAGACCCATATGATCACCATCAGAAGAGATTGCTTGGGATGTTCATGAAGCACCAAGGCTCAAGCCTGCCATGAGCTGTTGGACAGTGTTACTCTCCAACAGTGAAGCCAGTCTTATATCTCTATGAACTGAGAGGGTGCTGACCAAGAAAGAAGCCCCTGCCTTAGTTGAAACCTTTAAGCTCAGTTGAATGAAGTTTGCAAAGCCCTCTGGAGAAAAGTTTTATGGTTAGATGAGACAAAGACTGAGCTATTGAGTTTGGAAGAATCAAGGTGAGCTTTCAAATCTGAGAACACTGTACCAGCTATCAAGCATGGCGGCGGTTGCATCATGCTCTGTTTTGCTGCCATTTATATTGTCACATTGCAACACATGCAAGTGGATAGAATAATGAAGGAGGAGGACTACCTCTAAATCTTTCAACTTCACCTCAAATCAACAGCTACATGGTTGAAAGTTGGACACATTTGGCAGTCCCAGCAGGACAATAATCCCAAACAAACTGGTTTTGGAATGGACACAGTAGGCTAACGTTAAACTTCCCTTAATGACCTTCCCAAAGTCTGGTTAAAAGTTGGGTCTGTGCCAGCAAAATCAACCAGTTTGAACTCGAACAATTCTGCCAAGAAGAGTGGTCAAATATCCAGCCAGGCTACCAATAGTGTCTCATCCAGGTGCAACTTGCTAAGGGGCGTTTAACCAAATATTAGTGGGGGTGTGTGTAAAAGTCTGAGCCTCTGTGTACATGTTTACCCTGTGTGAAGACGAAATCCAAAATAAATTCAAACTTCTGCACTCAATTCTTGTTTTTTAAAGTCATTAAAGACATGTGTGCTGTAAAAACTTTAAACCACAGAAAAATAACAGTTCAAATTAGCACTAAACCCATGATGACTGTGTGTAAATTCTGAACACAAGCGTCTGTGGGAAAGTGGTTTTAACGTGTTGATGCACTGAGAGCTTAGCCCAGCACAGTCTGGCAGTGACGGCCTGAACGAGGGGTGCGTAGAGTCATCACACCTTGGCAGTGAGAATCAGATTCAGATTCTGTGATGGAGGAAAGAGCTTCTCAGCTGTTCTCACTCTCTGCCACACAGTCTCTCAATCTGATTTTGTGCAGTTTCACTATCATATACCGATGCAGCTGCTCTGGATGGTCTTGATAGTCCCTCAGTAGGAATGTGGTGAGGATGGGAGGTGGGATGTAGGCTTTCCTCAGTTTTTGCAGAAAGTAGACATCCTGGCTATTGAGATGTTCAAGTTCTGCACCAGGCGAAGACCGAGGAATCTGATGCTCTTGACAACCACAGCCTAGATAACACGAGAAGGTGACGATGACAAGTGCTGCAACCAGTGTGCAGTGTCACACTTGCTCTTTTGCTTTCGCGTTCTCGCTCTTTGTTCCCTCTCTCTTTCACTCTTTTATCTCTCTTTGTCTCTTTCGTTCAGCGTGCACACAATAACGCATACATGCCAAGGACTGTGAAGCTTTAAAGTTTTGGGCTTTAATGCACAATCAGACTTATAGCTTAGCAGCTCAACTCAATCAGTCCTTGGTGTTTATTTTGTTTGTTTCTTTTTCATTTTCAGATCTATGATGATGACGCCCAGCAGGCTTTTATCTGAAAGTTCAGAGAACATAGTGTAGCTGATGCTGCATGGAGATGAGTGAGTGACACATTTTGACCATGTTTCTTTCAAAGATTTTGGAGCTACGTGCAAACCGGCTGTCGTCTTTAGACAGCCTCACCAGCGGTGCTCCTCCTCCCCACCTGCAGTACCTCGGCCTCGGCTCAAACACTCTGGGTTCCCACAATGATGTCACTCATCTTACTGGAAGACAGTGGTTAGTTCATAATACACACCACACATGCACAGACACACACACATACACACAAACCGGAAGCTTTCTGGCATTTTAAGAAAACCAAACCAGGTCAAATCAAGCTTTCAAGTGCAATTGTGTACTTTCTAATCAGTCAGCAGGTGACATTACTTCATTGCAGGTTGCTTTTATGTGGATTTACTTCTCTTTCACACCTGTGTGTCATACTTGCACTGATCAAACTGAAGCAATATCAGCTGGTTTGCTGCCAAAGTGGCCACCAGAGACTAAAACACACCCTGTTGGGAGTAAAATCTTTTCATCTCACCCACAAAACTGTGAGGAAAAAAACAGAGCTTTCACAGTTTACAGAATTATAATACCAGAGGGGAATACAGGTCTGATGATGTCTGTGTCTGTTGCAATCAAAAGGAAGTATTACAGCTTCATGTTAGAGCTCTGAGGCTTCTGCTCTTAATCATCACTTAACCAGAACTGCAGACATCTACAAACCCGTCAGGATTTTTCAGAACAGGAAGTGTTAAACATCTTGTGAAAACAGGAGTATAATGGGAGAGAGTAGTAGTACAGGGGAGAGAGGAGCCTTGTTGAGCAGCTTTTGGATGGACTTCTTTTGTCCTCCACTTGTCCAGTTCCCTCAAGATTTTTTAAGGACACACTGCACACAGTGCCCATAAATGTCATGTTTTTGGCTTGTAGCTCTTTGGAAATTGTCTCATTGGTGCAAAAATACTATTTTATGCCTACCAAACTATGTTATGTTATATGTTGGGTGTAGTCTATGTCATTTTTACCAATTCAGTTAATGAAATGGGAACAAGTGGTGTGTTTTTATTTTATTCATAGGTCAAACAAAAAAACAAGCAAAAAAAAAACCCCCCAAAAACAAAAAACACAACAAAAACTTTACTTTGAAAATGGACGATGACAAGAAGTGGACTGAAAATGAGTGAAAAACAAACAAAACACTTTAGAAAGCCTGGAAAACGAATGCTCAACACCAATTAAAAAATAGCTTGGCTCCTTGGAAGCAAAAATATAGAGAAGACTTTTACACAGTATTTTATAAATCTACAAAAATGTGATTTGAACGTTGAGTGAACCATGGAAATTCATGAAGTGTCTTGATAGAGTGTCGGGTGAGCTGCTTCTGTGCACCTTTAGTTTTTTCAAGATCAAGATCAACCCCCTTCAACCTGATAGCTGTGAAGGCCACAGCATTCGAATGATATCACGGCCTATGAATGAGCGGCTCGTATCAGGAAAATCCCAGCAGAAATTTACCATCGTAATGCAAAAATGATCAGTCAGAACAGCATCGTCATGAATTGCAGTGAATTTTATCTCCATTGGTGGGCGGCTGGATCCCCGTTGGTACACATGCACACACAGTTTGTGATTTTAAGGGTAACTTTCCAAGTGTGACCACTGACTGCGGGTATTTTAGAGCCTGAGATTGTCTCAAAAAGACACAGTTGCATTGATGTTTATAGTTTGAAACACTAGAGGACCAAACATACAGCTTTGATTTTATTTCTTTTTTGGAGTTACGTTGATCAGATGCCTTCTTGGTCCCTTGGTCCGTTCACTGAGACGGTGTCCCACATTTTGAATGGCGTTCATTTTTGAAACTCAACACTGTGAGAGAGACAGACGCAATGTTTCTGTTACGCAGTGAACTTTATCAGTAAAAGTTGGACTTGTCTTGGCTGTCATCATGGGTTTCCTGCAGGTTAACCTGACACCGCCCTTTGCTGCCTACGCTACACCCAAAGATTGCAGCTCACAACTGATAAACACCACATAAGAAAAAATTAGAAGGAAACGCAGCTACATCAGTCAAGACCGGGAAACTTTAAGTAACTGGCTTAAACTAGTCAAAAGGGTTTTTACAAGTGCTCATCAGTCATTTGTGTGCCATACAATGAAACTGTCATTGGTTGCATCCCAACTGAAACCTCAGCATTAACAACCAGAACAGCAAAAAGGAAGGAAGGAAACAAAAACAGGCATGACATCATAGACGGAGGAAAAAACAGGTTTAAAAAAAGAAAAAAGAAAATCAAAATTTTAAAAGAGATTTTAAAGGCGATTTAAGTGAATCTGGGATGTCGCGGGAGGAGATTTGCATTGTGGATGCAGAATGAGATTATTACATCTGGATCTTAAATGACTGGCACACACACCGTAGCTGACATTTAGCAATAACTGTGATAACAGCCTACAAGGATGCTGTGTCATAGCCGTTCGCAGTTGACTTGATTTTTATTTCCCAGATAAATTTCTTTGAAATTCATGACTAAATAAAGCATATTTTGAATATGACTGACGTGTTTAGATCAGGGATGTCAAACTCCTTTTATAGTGTGGGCCACATACACTTTGAACTTAATTAAGTGGGTCGAATTGGTGAAACTCAGCCTGTATTTATATTTACTGTGAGCCCAGTGTAAAAAAAAGATCAATTTTTTGATCTTTTTTTATGTTTGACACCCCTGGTCTAGAGAAACTGTAACTATTTTAGACACGGACGGATTCGTGTCAGTGCGACCCTGGGTGGAAATTACACTCAGGGATGAGGAGTAATGGCTCCTGCCTTTCTGTGAAAAACTATTTTGTGCTCCTCAGTTTCACTATGTATATACATTCCCTGGCCACTTTATTAGGCACACCATTTCAGCTGCTCATGAGCGCAAATATCTAATTAGCCATTCACGATGTAGCAACAGTGCGTTTAGGCATGTATGAAACTGAGTATCAGAATGAGGAAGAAGGATGATTTAAGTGAGTTTGGATGACAGCTGTTGATCTTCAGGGATTTCCCAGAACCATCTCTATGGGTTATAGAGAACAGGTTGAAAAAGAGAAAGTATCCAGTGTGTGTGTGTGTGTGTGTGTGTGTGTGTGTGTGTGTGTGTGTGTGTGTGTGTGTGTGTATTTTAGATATATATTATTATATTTTTATTTATGACTTTTATGTCACACCCAAAACAACCTGCTGACATTCAATTGGGGTGAAAAACAAAAAGCTGCTTGTCAGCTGAGAGAGGGAGATAAGCTACAGCAGCAAAAGGCCGCAGTGTGTCCCACACCTGTTAGCTAAGAACAGGAAACTGGGGCTACAATTCACACAGATTCAACATGAAAACATGGTGAAAAACATGATCCATCCTGCCTCATATCAACAGTTCAGGCTGACTGTAAAAGTGAAACAGTGTTTGTGTGTGTGTGTGTGTGTGTGTGTGTCTGTGTGTGTCTGTGTGGTGTGAGGTATTTTATTGGCACACTTTGGCCCTCTTAGTACGAACTGAGCATCGTTTAAATATCATAACCTATCTGAGTATTATCCATCCCATGAAGATGGATGGAAGATGTGTTAAAACACAGTTAATAGCTGCATGAATGAAATAAGATATCTGTCATCTTCTTTAACATCTATTTGGATCACAAGTTGTCTCATACACATCTGTCCTGTAAAGCCAGCACCTCTGTCTGTCCTCAGGCCACAGCTGGTGTGTCTGGACCTCAGCGACTGTGGGTTTCAGGACCAGCCAGCTCTGCTAAATGGCTTGAGCACCCTGCCTTGCCTCAGGACGCTGCTGCTGGAGGGAAATCCTTTCGCGCTTGCATCTTCATACCCAGGACTGACTGTGGACAGCCTCCCGCAGCTTTCCTGTCTGGACACCTCATGGATTTCCCCGGAGGAGAGGATTCGCTTTAGGGGCTTGGCCAAGATGAGTGGTGAGTGTGTAAGATGCCCTATGAGCCCTGTGAGCGAGGGCCCCAGATTTCTATATAATTTTAATGCACACTGAGCATGTGCTTACAGGTCATAACATCAGAATACTTTTTACTTTGCACAGGCCTGGCAGTAGGCATAGCGTCACCCACAGTGAGCGTGGGCAGGATGATGGGAATTCCAGATCCTCAGATGACTGTGGATGACAAAGCTCCCATTTTCCCTGTGGTCAGCTACCACTATTTTATCACCTACGAGTTCCTGAGGCATCAGACACCTGCTCACTCGGTGACGTATCCTTCCCACACATTTTTAGCATAGCTACAAGTTTAAATGTTTTTAAATGTTTTGGGCCTCATTCTAATATGGTTTTAAGCATTTAAGCTTTGGACGTACAATTGTCAGAATAAAGAGTGCAATTTAGTCAAACAACATATTTCCTTCCTGTGTTAAAAGATAAAGCTACCCACACGCTGATAAGTTCGTCATTTGTTGTTTCCACCTTGGTTACGCAATCTCTCTACTACACACTACATCTTCACATCTTTCTTCTTCTTCTTTATTAAAATTTTACTACAAATTGAGGTTTGTGGGGTTTTTTAACCTCACCTTTCTTTTGTTGCACGTGATTAATGTATTTACTTCACTGCTGTAACTAAATTAAGAGCAACAAACAGCAACAAAATCCTTCTAAAATCTCTATCTAGCAATTTACCGGCAATCTTAAGATTTGCTTTAAATTTCTAAATATCTTTTAATGTAACTGTATCTAATGTATTACATTAGATACAGTTATAAACCATGTTTAACTTTAACAGGCCAATAAAGTTTTGCTTGTATTTACAGAAAAAGGTGATGGTGAAACATAGACATGGACTTTATTTAATCCCACATTGGGGAAATTCACTTATTACAGCATCACAAATGTGAAATTGAGATATTATATATTAGAAAGCTAAAAATAGAAAAAAATAATAAGAAAAATCATGTACAACAAAGGTCCATGTGCAGACGGCTATTACATGCAGTAAAATGCAACAAGATTTTTTGTACAGTTCAGTGAGAGTGAAGGAGAAATATTGTTAGTATTAATTTTACATGGCATGAGTAATATTTTTATGTTATTATAATACAGTATATATACATATGTGTGTGAGTGTGTACCTGTTTAGACATCTTTGTGGGGACCAAAAATTGGAAGTTTACTATTAGGACTAAAATCCTGGTCCCCACAAGTTTGAAGGCATTTTTCAGACTTAAAATGTGGTTTTAGTGTCAGGGTCACAATTAGGTTATGGTTAGGGTAAGGGTAAGGGTTAGGCATTCGTTTTTGATGGTTAGGGTAAGGGTAAGCAGCATGGGTAAGTACATGAGTACACACGTGCCATAGGACACATTTACAGTGCAGTAATGTTTAAAAAGAAATGTTGCATTTACTGACAAGGTTCGGGAGCATTAATAGTTTTCTTTTTTTATACTTCTTTAATATGTAAATGTATTTATTCTTCTAAAATGTCAACTGCTTGTTTTTCTACTACACATCTGTCAGATCTGATGACTTTGTGGCCATTGACTGATTGACTCAGTAGCCACTTTATTAGGTATAGCTGTATGTTAATGCAAAAATCTAATTAGCCAGTCACACAGCAGCAACTCAAAACAACCCGCTGACGTTGACACTGAGCACCAGAACGGGGAATAACTATTTCACACACTGCTGATCTACTACGATTCTAACACACAACCATCTCATACAGACAATGCTCTAATCGCTGGAGAGATTGTAACTCCACTTTCTATGTTGTAGACAGCAACAAGTCTTTAACGTCACAAAAACACAATACACAAGCCACCCACTTCAGTCAAAAAGGAAAACGAGCACATAATTTCCTAAATTTAAGCACACAACTGGGAGGAAAAAAGTACTCAGAGTACCACAGAAGTAAAATTATCCCATTACTCCAAATTGAAATTGATTTTCTTTTTTTTTTACAGAAACTTGACACTGAGACAAAATCTGACACAAGATCTGTGACTGAAGGCCAACGATCAAAGGAGAACGGCGAAAAACAGACGTCCAAACAAGATGGCGGCATTCTGAACTCAGAGAAACCCAGTTGTGGCAACACATGTGGTAATAACACTTATCTCATCTGACCTGTGTGTCTTTGACGTAAACTTCTGACTGCAGATGAAGCACAGCAGACACTGTGACAGCTTTTTCTACAGACACTTTGATTTCTTAAACTTGGTGATGTGTCCTGTTCAAATGAGAGAATTTTTCTCTTATAAAGTTTGTGGAATTTACACAAGTGCTTTAAAGGAAACTACAGTCAGATCAGCCGATGAAGAGCTGTATGCCTACATAACCTGAAACCAAATGACGAACCTGATCTTTTATCGCCTTCATCAGGTGTCAAAGGCACTGATGAGCAGCCAGTTTATATCTGGTTTACTTGTGTGTTTTCTTTTACTGCAGTGTGTAGTCATGACGATTCAAAAGCTGGACTTTTTTGTATGTTTTTCTTATTTACTCCTCAGAAGTGTTAAGGCACAGCACGTCCAAGCTGTCGTGGTCAGAGAGCATGGACTTCGGTGACACGCAAACCCACACTGTGAGCGCTCTGGGAGATTTAAAGAAATTCCTCAATCGGGGACTGCATTTATGCTTAGAGGAAGAAAAGGTACAGAAAGTCAGGTTTGATAGGGTGTGTGATTGCTCAGGCCTGCAGCCAAATTTTTCTGATTCACTGAAAGTTCTTCACTGAAACCTGAAATGACTCAAAGGCACTTTGAAGAAGTTAAAGTGCTTCATTGGGGTCATCTTGAATTCAAAGACACACAAAAATCAAAGTGAAAAAATGATCACTTTCCGGAAAAGGGTGGAGTGCCCACTCCGGGTCAGGGACGAGACCCTGAATTTAAGTATCTCGGGGTCTTGTTCACAAGTGATGGGAGAAGGGAGCGAGAGATCGACAGACGGATTGGTGCAGCGGCTGCAGTGATGCGGACGCTGTACTGGGCTGTTGTGGTGAAGAGAGAGCTGAGTGTGAAAGCAAAGCTCTCAATTTACCGGTTAATGTAAGCCCCTACCCTCACCTATGGTCAGGAGCTGTGGGTAGTGACCGAAAGAACGAGATCGTGGATACAAGCGGCAGAAATGAGCTTCCTCTGAAGGGTGGCTGGCCTCTCCCTTAGAGATAGGGTGAGAAGTTCGGCCATTTGGGAGGGGCTCAGAGTAGAGCTGCTGCTCCTCAACATTGAACGGAACCAGCTGAGGTGGTTCGGGCATCTGACAAGGATGCCTCCTGGGTGAGGCCTCCTGGGCGAGGCCTCCTGGGCGAGGTCTTCCAGGCATGTCCCACCGGGAGGAGGCCATGGGGCAGGACACACTGGGTAGATTATATATCTCGGCTGGCCTGGGAACGCCTTGGTGTTCCCCCGGATAAGCTGGATGAGGTGGCTGGGGAGAGGGAGGTCTGGGCTTCTCTGCTTGGGCTGCTGCCCCTGCGACCCGGCCCCGGATAAGCGGAAGAAAATGGATGGATGGATGGTTGGATGGATGGATGGAAAAAATGATGCTGCAGGCTCGTCCGTTTTGCCAAACTTTCAATGCAGCAACTCAGAATGGTCTGTATGACCCCATGTGGTAGTATGCACGTAATGTGACGATGGATGAGGTCCTGCGGATCTAATCCCAGATCTGGACCAGGGTATCACTCTTGGACAGTCTGAGGTGCAACCTGGTTAGATGGACTACCCCTCCATGGATATAGCTCCCCAGACAATCACTGGGTCACCACCAAACCGGTCATGCTGAAGGATGTTACAGGCAGCTTAAGGGTCACCTCAGCCTCTCCTGACCCTTTCATGTCTGTCACATGTGCTCAGGGTGAACCGGCTCTCATTTGTGAAAAGTGGTGGACCTGCCAGTTCTGGTATTCTGTAGCTAAGAGCCAGACATTGTCCTCAGGCCACCCTCATGAAGTCTGTTGAAGTCTGAGGTCATTTTGTAGCTGTGGCAGAGCTTATCTTGTTCCTCTGTGCGCACTAGGGTAGATACCGGTCCTGTTGATGGCTTAAGGACCTTCTACAGCCCTGTCCCGCTCTACTAGAGTAAGTGTCTGTCTCCTGGAATCTCGTCCATGCTATTGAGACTGTCCTGGTCCAGGTGTTACCTCCTACCACCAGCAGTGACACAGATCCTACTGCCAGCAACCTCAACCTGTAAAACCATTCGTGTTATGGGGGTTGTCTTATTGTTCTCACTGTAGTGCACCTGTTGTTAATTTCATTAACACCAAAGCATCTGAAACTGTTTAAAAAAAAACCTCTGATACTAAACTGACCTGATCAATATCCCAGAAGTTTAATCGACTTGATGCTGCACTCTGATTAAAAAGAGTTCCAGTTGACGATAACCTTGGGCCTGTTCAGTACTAATGTTGTCTCTGTAAACTTCTTGATGAGGCTCTCCACAACAGTCACAGTTTATCATGTTGACCAAAATTAATTGGTTAAACCTAAAAATAAATATATTAGAAGCAGGAGACAATGAGCAGGTCACAAGCATGTGTACTCGTACTCAGGGTCTCAGCCCTCCTGAGAAATGGGTCATTTGGTAGCAAATCAAACACGCAGATGCAATAAGGGAGGAAGGCACCTTATCAGATTTAGCACATAGAACACCAGAAATATTCAATTTTATTTCTGAAGCAGACAATGAGCTGAAGATTTGTTGGCCAGTGTGAGCCGCAAAATGCATCGAAACTCATAGTTTGCGGTTTTAGGTCCTGTCGTGGCCTGCAGCTTGTGAAGAAGTCCCGCTGACCAAAGCCAACCAAACTGGAAAAGAGAAGAAAGGCAGGAGGGAGAAAGAAGTGAGTGTATCATGTAATACCACTGAACTGTAGGTGCAGCCATCACCTAACTCACCGACTGCAGACACAATAATGAACTTATTTTCAGGGAAATCTTGCACCGTTGTGGAACATGGAAGAAACTTTGTGATGTGGACAGATACTCTGATTTTTACGTCTGGGTTCAGTGTCGGAAGCTATGCTTTATTGCATACTGTATATTCCTTTCAACGCTGATGGTGCCTTTACTTCAGAGATGCAGGCTTTTGACGAGTGTCAGGGGTGATTTGTGCAACACTAGGCGAAAGCATATAAAGGTTCAAAAGTTCAAAATGGACCAAAAAGTGACCCTTGGGGAATCCCAAGAGCTGTTTCTGTTTGGTGCTTATCATAAATACTGAGAGATTAAAGGTATGCACATTTTTTTCTGTTACGGTGGAGTGGGTGGAGATAAGTGTCAGGGGAATAGCAGTAAATCTAAAAAACAACTAAAAAGTTCATGTTTATATGTGGCACCTTCTTTTTTTGCATAACAGACCTTTAACATGCATGTGATGGTACAGGGAACTGTGATCTCAGATGAATATTTCTGGAGGTGTTCCTGAGTTCATGCAGGGACTTCTGTGACATGTTTTTAATGCAGTGCTGCCTGACGATCCAACGATCTCTTGCGTACAGAGATTCCTCCAGATTATCTGAATCTGTTGATTTGATTATTCTGAAATCATTTATAGATGCAGTTTTTTGCAGGTTGGTGAACCTCTGCCCATTTAAGTTCTGTGTAACTTTCCCTCTATAAGATTATATCCAATCATGTTACTGACCAGTTGCCAGTAAACCTAGTTGTAACAGTCACTTACTTTTTCAGGTTTTTGTTGCTCCCGTGCCAACTTTTTAAAGATGTGTTGCTGCCAATAAAAATATTAACTCACTCACTCTAAACACTTTCTGTGTCCTGTGGTGGATAAAATTTGGGTTTATGCATTCTGGTTTTATTTTATTTATTTTTATTTTTTTAGAAATGGGGTTGTAATCAACCGAAACATAATAACTGCAGGGAAAGCCTCAATGGGACTGTATATAAACAGAAAGTTATTTAATGTCACTGGTCTCTTCTTTCTAGTCTCCAGTTAAATCTGATTTCACCAAGTCTAAAGACAAAAATAAAAAATCTGTATCTGAGCTGGTCCAAGATGCCCCGATCAGACGAATCCTTGGCTCCGTGCACATCCCCCTGCAAAGCCTGGTCAGAGGAGGCCAGCAGGTTAAAGTCCTCTGTGACTTTGGCATGCTGCACACAGACTCTGAGGTGGAAGCAACACAAACACACCAAAAGGCAAGTTTGCACATATGAGTTTATGTTTTGCTGAGATATTCTTGCTGTTTTCTGGATGAGTTACATGGGACAAAGGTTAAAATAGGAAAATCCATCCAAAAGAGTAGCATTGTAGGAAAGGACACAAAAAACAAATTGACATGTCTGGGCTATTTTTTCGTACATCTTTAGGATTTGGGAAGGAAAATCAAAGACGACAAGAAGAAGGAGGACAAGGAAACAAAAAGGAGACAGCACAATGCAGCATCGTCAAAAGGTTAGCGAGAAGACTGCTTCATGACAAAATGGCTTTGACATACATAAGACAGGATAAAAGCACCAGACCACTTTGAGAGTCAGAGCAGCTGTAGATGCTGTGGTCTGTCTAGGAGAGGATATTAAGAAAGAAGGCAAAGAATGAAATTGCATCATTAGTCAGTGAGCTTTTCTTTTTCCGTCTCTGTAATCCTGCGTGATGTCGGCAGATAAAGAGAAGAAGTCACTTGAGGTGCACGACTCAATAACCAGCCAACAGGAACCGGTGATTGTGGAGCTGATTGTGGAGCTGAAGAAATGGCAGACTGCATCTGAAGCTCACCACTTCCTCCTGCCACAAACCTCCTAAGGCAGACTGCTCTCCCCGGGGTCCGTTTGTCCTTCCTTCCTCATGACTGTTAACTGTGACCGTACCGTTGATTTAACTGCATAATAAATTTCTTGCCTCTGCAAAGTACCACATTATCAGGCTGCTGTATTTGCATCCTATGTGCATCCTATGTGCATGTTCTGTGTGCATTTAAGTGGACTGGAAAATGTCCGTACTTAGGGCTTATTCAGAACCTCAAATTAAATATCATACCAACTTTGTATTCATGTGACATGGAAAAACCGCCCAGACTGACAGATTCCTTTTAACTACATGGAAGCTATTTTTTTTAACTTAAATCCACTCAGTGAATCACCATCTTGTGGTGGTGGAGGGGTTTGTGTGTCTCAGTGAGCCCAGGGGCTATGTTGCTGAGGGGTTTTTGCCCCAAAGCAAATTAGTCCTGTATGAAGGGCCAGACAAAAAATGATTCAGAGGACCTCTGTAGAAGTAAAGAAATCAAGAGAACGAATTACTGTGCCCAAGATGGGGTTACCAGGGCCCCTGCCCTGGAGCCAGTCCTGAGGAGGGTGGTCAAGTGGGCCCATTGGACCCAGCCACTCCAGTAGGGTGGGTTCAGTGATGGAGAATGTCAGCACTGAACCCCATTAGAGCCTAACTTTTTATATTTTTTCAAGTGACAAAAAGCAGTTGTGGTAACTTTATTAAATTATTAAAGTGATTATCAAAGCTTAGATCACTGTCGAAAAATAATGCCAAGCTTCATAACTTGTTCACTGTGTTTCAGAGAAAGGATGATAAATTATTTTATGTCTTTGACTTTTTGGAGTAACAACAAATATTTCCATCTTATCTCTTTTCACTTCTGAAAAGTTTCTAGAAAATTAATCAAGAATCTGACCCGTTAAACAAGTTAAATTGTGATCCTTGAAATGTCTCTGTGAAAGAATTATAATACATCACTGTTGACCTTCAGGTCAACAGTCACTGTTGACCTTCAGGTCATCAGTGACTTCAGTAAGAGCCGTTTCTGTGCTGTGGTTGGTTCTGATTGGTACTCATCAGAAATACTGACATTAAAAGTATGAATATTTTTTTTCAATTAGGGTTGAGTGGGTGGAGATGAGTGTCAGGGGTGAGTTCTGACAGAAGAATAGCAGCAACAGTGAAAAGGACTGTTTATAAGATGGTAGTGAGACCTGCTGTGATCTATGGTTTGGACATGACAGCCCTGACAAAACGGAATGATGAGACCAGGATGGACACATTAGGCTGAGTGGTTTGGAGACAAAATTAGAGGCAATGCTGAGTTGGTTTGGACATGTGCAGGTGGAAGATTAGTGGTTACAATGGACAAAGGATGCTGAAGGTGGAACCGTCGGGCCAGAGGAAAGGAGGAAGACTACAGTAGAGGTTCATGGATGTAATGAAGGAGGACATGCAGGAGGTTGGTGTGACAGAGGAGTATATCACAGATCATAGCGCTTATAAAAGAGTCTTACAGCAAATATGAAGTCCTTATTAAAGGGGGTTGATAATATAACTAGGTGTTAAAATATATTAAATAAAATAAGCCCGCCAGGCAAGTGCTCCAGATTTGGCTTCTGGAGCTTTCTAAGTGTGCCTCTATGAACACGTTTGCAGTCTATTAAACAATTCCCCCTGGTTTAGTACTCTGGTTTTGAAATGTATAAAATAAAGGTTTGCATATTTAGTGTACTGTAGTGTACAACAAGGCGGAAGGATTCAGGCGTGACACACAGATGTTATTATGAAGGAATTGTGCACAAAGATGCTTCATTTACCCATACCGGTAAATGTTTTATTTTTTTAATACACCAATATTGAAAACATGTTGCGAGAAATGCCAAAGTGTTTCACCGTTTCATACAGAAATGATCTTCTAAGAAACTTTTTTTGGAAAGGCCATTACAGGAACTGAGGACTTATAAGCATCAAGTCCATTATTTAACAGTTTCTTTTATTCTTATCAATCTTCCTGCAGTCCTTTTCAAAGTCCATAAAAAAAGTTCCCTATTAAAGCCAAACAGCATTGCTTTTTGCTCCAACTCCATATCAGAGCAAGGAAACCTCTCCCTGTTACAAATTTACACTCATACTATCAAATCTTTAAGTACATAGCATTTCCAGGCATAAAAAATAAACTATAGCTCCCAGACTTTGCGCAAACGGACATTTGTTTTTCAATCAAGTCATTTACAGCTTCAAATAAACAACTTTTATGATATTATATTATCTCTGTAACCCCCTTACAAGCTGTGCAAACTGTGTTAACATACCGATAAATTAAATGATTTGAAGAAGACTGCTGCTTCTCCCAGAATGATACATCCACTTACATTAGCCCCTCACTCACACAAACCCAAGATATCAAACATTTTTTTTCCTTCAAACTCATTTATAATTGCAAATGAAACTGTTATTTCATGTGTAGCAGTTTATTTGAATGAATGGAGAGATTCTGCCAAACCTTTCTCCTCTAAGAGCGCTTAAGGGGTGGTGTGGACAACAAAGATGCTTGAAGAAAAAAAGAAAAAAAAAAAAAAAGCACACAAAATGTATACACACACACGCACAATTAGGACCCCAGAAGCACAGCGTAATCCAAAATGGTGTGCAAATATAGTGATTGTGCGAATGAGGGTTTAAAAAAAAAGAAAAAACAAAGCAAAAAGGCTTTAAAAGGTCTGGTCATCATTACAGGAGTCAGTCCAGTGCCCAAAGACCTCACAGATGTCACAGTAGGGCCGCTCCTCACCCTTATTGCCATGGTAGGTGGTGTGTGGAGGGGAGTCTGGCATCTGCGTTTGCGTAGGACAGTCCTCAGTGTCGTGGAGGTCAAAGCAGTCGCAGATGTCGCAGAAGAGCCTCGGAGGAGGTTTCTTCTTTGCAGGCTGCTTGTCGTGGCTGTGGAGCAGGAGAAAAAGTAGAAGAAGAAGGATAAAATGACAAAGAAGAAGCAACAGAAGGAAGAAAAAAAGAGGAGAGAAAAGGTAGAAAAAAGGAGAAGACAAGAAGAAAGAAGCAAAAGGAGGAACAAAAGGAGAAAATCATGAACAAAAACAATGGAGAAGCAGCAGAAGAAAAGGAGGAAAGGAGAAGGAGAAATTGTTAAGAGTCATTGCCACGCAGCGAACATCAGTTTAAACACCCGAGAAGCTCTTTTGTGAATCGGACTAACCCGTCATAGTTATCCAGCTCGCTTGGATTATTCCCATTAAGGGCAGCAGCTGCCATTTTTTCCAGTTTGTCCTTGAGCTCCTGATTCTTCTTCTGGAGGTCCACAATGACTGAATTCAGGAAATCAATCTGTAAAGGAAACACACAACATTAGCATCAAGGCTGCCCCCGGAGAACAATGAGCACAACATTTTCTAACATATTAATAATTTTAAACAATGGGGGTTAGAATTATTGTACTGTTCAAAGGCTTTGATTGCTACAACAATGTGGACAGTAACTATGGTGATGTTACGACAACAGTAACTACGTGTCACTAAATATTCTCAAAAATCAAATCCCCCTTATAAAACAAATAAACCAAAAAAACAGAAAGAAAAAAAAAGAAGGTGCTGAGTGGCTACTGCGAGTCATCAAAGAAGAATCAAAGCTTGAAATGAGCCACAAAGAAAGCTCGCTTATGATGACTGCCAATTAAAACCTCTGAATCTTAACAGAGCGCTCACTGAACACTTAAATCAAGCTCGATTCATCTTTGGAGGACATTTGTAGTTTTCACACCAAATAATGTGACTCGACCACATGAAACATAAGAGCCACACAGTGATGGACAAACATGCACAAGTGAAGCTGATGAAAACAATAACAAACCGCTGCCTGATGGTGGTGCAGCATTGCCAACATCAGAGACAGGGCAGAGGAGAAGAGTTGGAATAAAGAAAGAGAAGGAGAAAAAAAAGAAAAGAAAGTGAAATTCAAATTAGGACTTCTGCTCGACAACACACTCAAGTCATCACAGACACGTACTACAGTATAACATTTTTAGAATAAACATGGGAGGGAAACTCGTGAAGCTGAAAACACGCTCACAGAGGTGACCCGATGGAAGTGTGTTACCAATTTGTTTGGCTTTATCAGTCATCCTTGTAGAGCTTGGGATGACGGAAGCTTCAAATCCTTGCAGTGAAATTAAACTCCACTAAATTCACCTCCACAAAACATTATACTGTAAGAATTAAATGAGTCAACAGAACTATAAAATCCACTATATAGCCTGTTGCTACAAACAAAAACAGTGTCATTTAGTAGTACTGCATGAGCAAATGGCCCAGTCATTCACAAACAGCATTCAGGAAGTCTGTTTCCATACAGCTGCCCCAAACGGGCAGGGTAGGAAAGCATTGTTACACTGAATGTGTTAAAAGAATAAAATAGACAAAGCAAAACTCTCAGTCTGTTCACCGGTGTCAATCGGGAGTGCCGCAGTACACACCTGACTCTCTGCAGTCTCCTTATCCTCCCTCATTTGGTCCAACACT